ATTCAATTAACGCCAACAAAGGATCTCACTTATCTGCACGGGCTTTCATCAACAACAACTTGCAGGACTTCACGGCATTTTCAACACGACCATTACTCTTGGGATGGCGAGGGCTTGAAGTAATGTGATGAAAGTCCAATTCTTTACTGAACGAATCAAAATCTCCACTGTTGAAAGGCGGTCCGTTGTCACTAATAACTGTCACAGGGATACTATGTCTGGCAAACCAAGTCTTTAAGACTGTAATGACATGATTGCTTGTGGTGTTACTCAAATCTTGTACCTCAAAATAACCAGAGTAGTAATCAACGGCTATCAGGAAGGCCTGCCTCTAAAGTATAAACAAATCAACCCCAACTTTCTCCCATGGTAGATTGGGCACAATATGGGGCTGTAGTGGCTCTCTACATTGTTCAGGTTGATACCTGTTACAAATACCGCATTTTGATAGGTCATCCTTGAGCTGTGCCGTGATTCCTGGCCAGTAAACAATATCACGAGCTCGACGCAGTGTCTCTTCGACCCCAATATGCGACTCATGCAGGCTCTTCACAATGTCAGAACGCTCACCAGCAGGTATGACTAAACAATGACCCTTGTATACCAAACCATCCTCTATAGTCAGCTCATCCCGGCTGTTCCAATACAGCTCAATCACTTGTTTCTGATGCTTGTCATTTTCACGTGCCTGTGCCAAGGTTTCTGGCCAACCTTTACGAATAACATTGGATAGGATCTGCAACTCTTCATCCTTAGCAGTCTCCTCGCGCAGCCTCTCCAAACGAGTAGGAGACACTGTCAGTTCTTCATCACGTTTGATTTGCTCTAACTCAAAGGCAAATAGTCGTTCCTTAATGGAATGGACATCACTGTTTGGGACAGTCAACTGTTCGCCCTCGAGATATGCTCCACTTAGGGTGTCAGCCAAGAACATGGTGGTGCCTTTCTTGTATTCCACTTGGATGTCATAATTCTGCAAACGGAGTTGCATTTGTTGGAGGCGCTTTGGGGAGCTGTGGATGGGTTTCTTGAATATGGTTTCCAGCAGTTTGTGGTCTGACTGGACAACTACATCACTTCTTCCAAAGATGTACTGATCAAACTTCTCACATGCAAAGACTATTAGTCGTTCCTTAATGGAATGGACATCACTGTTTGGGACAGTCAACTGTTCGCCCTCGAGATATGCTCCACTTAGGGTGTCAGCCAAGAACATGGTGGTGCCTTTCTTGTATTCCACTTGGATGTCATAATTCTGCAAACGGAGTTGCATTTGTTGGAGGCGCTTTGGGGAGCTGTGGATGGGTTTCTTGAATATGGTTTCCAGCAGTTTGTGGTCTGACTGGACAACTACATCACTTCTTCCAAAGATGTACTGATCAAACTTCTCACATGCAAAGACTATTGCAAGAAGCTCCTTCTCGATTTGAGCATAATTTTGTTCAGTAGGGGTCATCACACGGGAGCTGTAAGCGACTGGACACCCTTCTTGCAACAAGGCAGCTCCAAGTCCAGTCTGGGAAGCATCACACTGGATGACTACTGGTTTGCTCACATCATAGTAGGCAAGTACAGGGGCGGTTACAATCATTTCTTTAACATGGGCCAAAGCATCAGCATGGGTAGGTAACCAACACCATTCAGCATCCCTTTCAGTGAGTTTTCTCAGGACTTCTGTTTCATCTGACAAGCATGGCAGAAACTTTGCCAAGTAATTCACCATGCCAAGAAATCGACACAGAGAGTGAACATCAGTAGGGTCAGGCATTTGTACTATTGCCTCCACCTTGCATGGGTCAGGTTTGAGACCTTCTGGTGTCAAAACATAACCAATAAAGGGAACTTCTTGCTGTCTCAGCCAGGCTTTCTTCTCGTTCAGCTTCAGGTTTCTTTCACGACAGCGATTTAAGAAAGCATGTACATTTTGGTCATGGTCTGACTGCCACTCGGCAGGTATGTTGCCGTATCCAACAATCACAAAATCATCTGCAATGACCTCTACTCCCTTAAGCCCTTCTATGTGCTCTCGCATTCTTCGTTGCCAAACTTCTGGTGCACTGTTAATGCCAAACGGTATTCGCTTCCAGCGGTAACGCCCAAAAGGGGTGTTAAATGTGGTGAGCATACTGGATTCTTCGTCAAGTTCCACCTGCCAGAAGCCATTGCTAGCATCAAACACGCTGAACAACTTTGCTCCGTTTAGCCTAGTTGCAATTTCTTCAATTGTTGGCATTGGGAAATGTTCTCATTTTATGGCGAGATTCAGATCCCTAGGATCAAGACAAATGCATATCTTTGTCTCCTCACTTGCTTCAGAAGGTGGCTTACTCACCACCAGCATGCTGGAAACCCAATCTGTGGGCTGATTGACCTTTGCTATGACATCATCCGCTGTCATTTCCTCCAACTTTCTCTGCACGTGCTCGGTCATGGCAACAGGTAACCGACTTGGTGGGTGGACTACAGGCTTCACGGACTTGTCAGTTACAATACTATACTTCCCATCTAGCTTTCCAAGACCCTCAAATACGTCAGCATACTCTTCTAGTAAGGGGTCTTTACCTGTCTTCAGCACATTTATGCGTGGATCTCAGTCGCAATCAAGGATCGTTATCAGGTTCATTTCTAACATACTTTTCTTGGACAATATTGGCTCATAGCCACGACCATTGACTACACTAACTTGTATCTTGTGTGTGTGTCCATTGTGGGTTGCATACAGGGTTGCTTTGCCCTCGATGGGTTGTTCATACCCATTAGCCAAGATCAGAACTGACTTCACTCGAGTATCAAGAGAGTTTAAGTCCAGGTCACCAGTCACACCCTTGTGGACATCCAAAGGCAGTAGGTTACACTCAGCTCCTGTGTCCATCAGGAATGCAACTTCATGACAATCATCATAATTATGTTGATGTTACACCCTTGGCTTGGTACTTTGATTTCAAACTTGGTACCTTTCTCATACAGAGTAGATACGATCTACTGTGGGGAATAGGTTAAGAAGGCCCACAACGTCCTCAGTCTTCACTTTCAGGTTTTTTTTAATCACAGTTTTTTCTTTTCTCCTACAAAAATGATCCACCTCTCACTGGCATCAATCAAGCGAACCCTAATCTATGGCACACCTTGAATAAACATGAGCTGATTGGCTAAAACGATATTGCTGACAGAAAAATAACAAACGTACTCTATTTCAAAATAACACGTGGAATAACGTGATCTTTGCCATTCAGATAAAAATAAACGCCTTCAAAGATTGGCAGTTCGTGACAAAATAAAGATTAAAAGCCCTATGCTATTATCGAGTTTCCGACACACTCCCCCATGTGCTTACGACAAGGAAGTACATGTAAACAAAGGAAACTGCTTCAACCTAAGTACGCTAAACAATTTGAAAACGAAGAAAAGTCTTAAAGAACAAATCACATAGTTCAATGATTCCATTGTCCACAGTGTTCACGTTGAATCACAGTTCAGCGTTCTTTGAATGTCACTAGGCTTAATCACTTGAAATCATAACAAAAAGCAGCATCTGCAATACAGAGTCTTGCTGCGACTGCCGCATCCCTCCTTGGCCGATAGGGTCCGGCTTCAGGAGTCAACCTTGCATCTTCTTTGTCACCTGATACTTTATGGGCCCAGCAAAGTCAACACCAATGGTTTCATAAGGTGTCACTCCTTGGGTCCTGGTCGTTGGTAGGTTGCCTAGTGGTGGGGACTGGTAGGCTTGAGCTCGAAATCTCTTGCAACCCCAACAGCTTTTAATGACCTTCTTGGTAAGTTTTCTCAGGCGAGGGATCCAGTGAGTCTCCCGAACTTTGGTCATTGTGAGTGTAACTCCCCCATGAAGGGTCGCTAGATGTGCTCGTTGAACAAGCTTGTGTGTGAATGCGTTACCATCAGGAAGGTAGATAGGGTATGCACCAACGATTCGTCCTCTACACTCCAGTATTCCGTTGTTGTCTGGTTGCAAGTTAAGCTGTAACTTGTCTGCCTCAAAATTCTTCAAACTTCTGCCTTCCTCTTGAGCTCGTCTGGTCCACCAGGTTTCCTGGTACTTCATTTCATCGGTGGTCAGCGGTCCTTTCACTCCTCTTGGCTTCAGGTTTCTGGAATTAGTTAGGAACCTGGACACCCATGCGCACACGCGCAAGGCCTTTAACAGACTGTGTTGCTGCATCAGCACACTGAACTTGTCTTCTGATGATAGGGCTGTGGCTAAAACTTCCTTTATCACTGGATTCTGCGGTGGGTACAGTAACAAGGTCTGGGGGCCATGCTCTAGGATCACTGAGCCATGCTGGTCCCCTCCACCACAGTTGTTTCTCTTCTGTGACCGGTTCACTGCGGCTAGCAATGTCGGCAGGATTACCCTTAGTTGCTATGTATCTGCACGTAATGTCACCATGCTCTCTAATCTTTCGGACACGATTTGCCACGAATTGCTTGAAGTCTCCATTCCCACGTATCCAGTGTAGTGTGACGCTGCTATCGAGCCAACAGTGTAGGGAGGATACAGGAAACCCTTGTAGCGCATCTTGTACATTGCTTAGAAGATTCACCGCCATGTGACCCAAGACTAGTTCACGGCGAGGTATTGTCAACCCTTGCTTTGCCAGTCTTGCCTTTGCTGTGACAAGGCCCTTGTTTACTGAAGTCGGCTGTTTGACGACGGCGTACACGGCAGCTTCTCCAAAGGCATGAAGCTCGATGTTCTCGATAGGCTGTTGAGCACTCGTCAGTGCTCTTGGGCAGTTACTTTGCCGAGGTAAACAACTCCCACTTCCACTGCTGAACTAGCTCTGCAGATAGCGGCATGTCCCATGCGCATTTCTCTTCACAAGCCTCACGATATAGCAGCTTTCCTTGAAGAGTGGTAGGTGCAGCTAATCCTAAGGGGTCATAGATCTTAGCCACCTTTCCCAGGATCCCTCTTTTTGTCGGTTGAGCAACGTTCGCCGGAAAAGGGACCCCAATTTCGTCAGAGAACTTGTTCCACTTCAATCCCAGGAGTCCACACTGTCTAGATTGAACACCCAGCTGTTGCTTCGCGTAGCTAAGTTGTCTTCGTGCTCATTCACTGTAACCAGCTCCAGTTCTTTTGCATTGTCTTCGGGTACATCATCCAGTTCCAGCTCTTTCACGTTCGAGTGCCACTTGTGCAAATGGAAAGTAGCTTGGGCAAATATCTCAGTTGTTGTGGCTTTCTTCTGTTTCACTTCTTCAGTAGTAGGTCCATCAGATAATATGTCATCCACATATAGCTCACGCTCAATCTCTTCCACACACTTGGGATGTTCATCTCAGCAAGTGTTCAGATGCTGTTGCATCACACCTCCTAGCAGGAAAGGCGAGGGTCCCCAGCCAAAGAGTGCTCTAGTGAATCTGTAAGTCCGAATTTGTGTGGATCTTTAGGTTCTAACCAATGGAATCGAAGAGCATCTCGGTCTTGTACATGAATTCTCACTTGGAGAAAGGCTTTGTGAATATCACCAGCAAGAGCCACAGGATGGAATCTTCCCCGCACTAGAACCTTCCAAAGTTTATTTTGGAGCAGTGGTCCAACCTCCAAGCAGTCATTTAGTGAGGGTGCAGAGCTATGGGCTTTGGCTGAGGCATCATAGACTACCCGCATCTTGGTCGACTCTACATTCTCCCTCACCACGGCTCTGTGGGGTATGTAAAATTCTTTCCCACTGGCTGGCATGTCTGCCTCTTCCACAATTCCTTCGCGCAGTTGGTCCTGGATTATCGCATCGTATTTGTCCAGACGGCCTGTTTTCTTTAGACGTTGTACTAGACTTCCCAGGCGTTTCAAGCTCCCAGATTCATTCGAAGGTAGGGGAGGGTGGTCTCCTTTCCAAGGAAGCTGTGCTTCATACCACCCATCAGGACTGCATCTAAGCTGTTTACGAAACTCTGCGTAGACAACGCTTTGATCACCACTAGGTGCGTCTTCAAGTCCAAGGACGTCCATTCTATACAGCTCTTCACAATCGTTTGAGGCCGTTTGCACTAGGAACATGTTGTCTAGGTCTGTCTCTGTCCCTGGTGACATGATGGTCCACCCAAAGCAAGTATATTCTGCCACTGGTTCACCCACAGCTCCAGTTCGCTGGGATTCATGGGTCTTTATTAGCTCCAAGAATAACATGGACAGGAAGCATCTTCTTCAAGTCTGTGTCCTCCATGTACACTCCCTTCAGATGTGGGTACTTGCTTATCATTACCGCATAATTTGGGTTTTCAACAGACAGCAATTCGGCACGGTCAATAATTATTCTCGTCACGCTCAGTGGAATGGCATACTTTTCTTCCATGTTGCTCGCTTGGACATTGAAGATCTCACTTCGTTTTGTAACCACTCCCACGATGGTTTGAATACGGTGTGTGTGCATGCATGCATGTTGGTCTCAGCTTCAGCCTATTTAAGAGGTATCCAGAGGCGTAAGAAATGGTTGCGCCGGTATCCAGTAGTGCTCTACAGGTTACGCCATTTACTTTGACAAGAACTATAGGATGGCAATTCTTCTCCCTGTCTTGTGTTGCTGTCAATGCAACTCCAGCATTATTTCTAGGCTGACTTGCTCTTACTTGTCTGTCACAGATAGACGAGTGGTGCTTTTGCTTGCAGTGTACACAGGAAGCTCTACTAGAGCAGTTGTTTGCGCTGTGTTTGGGCCCAGTGCAGTTAAAACACAACCATTTATTCTGCAAAATTTGATGGCGTTAGGCAGGCGACGTGATTTTATCGCACTCCCAAGATCTGTGCGTCACGCAATCACAATAAACACACGCGTGTCGCGCGCGGGCTGGTTCGCGTTCTTGCGCGTAGAAACTTCTGTGGCGAGGCGAACGAGGCGGCGGCGGGGCCTGAGGTTTTCTGCTAGCTTTCTCAGCTAATTCCAGTGGATGAATTGCCTTCCATTCTTCTAGAGCTCGTATTAGTTCCGTGAATCCCCAGTCTTGCCATCCTACTTTTCCACTCACAAGTTCGGCTTTGATTCCTGGCAGCTTATCAAGCACACCACGCACCATAGAAAAACAAGACGAAAGTTTACCCAGCGTCTCAAGAGATTGAACATGGTAGTTCAAAGTCTGGCAAAATTTATGGATTTTGCTAGGCTGTGATCCTGTTATCACTGGCAAGGCATTCAAGTTGTCGATGTATGCTTTTACAATCTCGCTTATCTTGCTGTAATTTGAAGTCAGAATATTCTTAGCGCACTGGTAGCTTTCAGAAGTAAAGGGAAGGCCGTCGATTGATTCGCAAACATTACTTTCCAGCAATTCTTTCAGATGAGCGAATTTTGTGACCGCTGGCAGATCAGATGAATCAATTTCAGCTTCAAACTTGTTCCAAAACGAGAGCCACTTCTCATAGGTGCCGTCGTATTTTGTGATGATTAGTTTTGGCATTTTCAGGTTGCTCTTGCTGGCTGGCTTTGTGGCGGCTTGCTCTGTTTGTTGAATTTTTGCCTTTTGCTCAAGTTTTAGTTTTTCAAACTCTAGTTCTTCCTCTTGTTGCTGATTGAGCAAAGTTTTCTCCTTCTCACGCTTGTAGTCCTCTGCTCTCATCGCAGCTTCTTCAAGGCTGCGAGTTAAATCAGATATCTCCAAATCTGCTTCGTCGGTGTGTTGTTCTATTGTTGCTCCCCATTTCTGCACATTCTCGACGATTTCTCCAGCTTCAAGCTTGGCTTTTTCGATGTCTACCTTTAGATCTTCGATGGCATTCACGATTTTCTTCAAAATTTCCTTGTGACGAAGGATTTTGTCGAGGTTGCCCTTGTCCACGATTGCAGCAGTCTTGGAGTGAGTAAGTGCTAGTAGTTGCAATTCTGTCTTGAGTTTAGTTGAATTTAATTCATTTGGGCACTCTCTATTGGAGATTGAAAGGTGCCCCCTGTCATTCATAGTTTTTATGGTCAAAAATGTGCTATTTCAAAAAGAAATTGTGTTTTTGTTTTCAGCATGATAGTTATAGGCATGGTTTTCACAGGTCAGGAAATTCAGGGAACAATGAACTACTTCAAGGCCTGAGTAAAGTCAGGGAATATCTTTTTGAGTTGGGAAGAATTACATCTTTGAGAGAAGTCAGGATAAAGTAATATTTCAAGTAAATGTGAAGTTGTTTATCTTTGTGGTCATCTTCACAACAAAGGATGGTGACACATTCCTTTTTGTTGTTTATTACTTACATTGTCCAGAATGGTTGACAGAGTCCCAACCAGCTTTTCCTTTTCCTAGGTGATACAAGTTGAAGTTGGTTTCTGAATAAAAACATGCATTTTCTTTTTCTTCCCTATCCATCATTTTTTTTATACCTTTAAAATTCTTTGGTACACTCAGTGGACTCAAAGTATTGGAATGGTAAAATAAACTGATGTTGCGTTTCCATGGAAATTAATCCTTTTACCTTGGGACCTTGAATTATTAATTCATGTTCACCATATGTGACTTTGAAAGCATCAATTTGTGGGTGGAAGAACAACAGAGTAATAAGTAAGAATATGTTTTTCCTAAGTTTTTTGTCTTGTATAGAGTGATGTAATATTTTTACTGGTAACTAAAAGGTGTCTCATCCTGTGCCAGCTTTTGTTCTTGTGTTGTCCCATAGTTGCTTTCTTTCTACTCAATCTGTCACTTTCTGTGGAAAATTTGAAAAGATTGTTCTCTGAAAGCTTAAGATTTGCCTTGACACAGTTCTCAGTTTGAGATGATATGGTTAGAGATGTAATATTGTTTTCATTTTCATGATGGTCATTCAAAGATGATAAAAAAATTAAGAATACTAGGACGGGGATCAATTTTTGTAAGTTTCTTCACAAAGTAAATCTTTTTAAGAGTTATTTCTTTTCTGACTAATCAGATGTGCCCCTCTCCTCTTCATAGAATTTCTTTATCTTGCTTAGTTCTTTGAGGGCAGTTACATGTCTTCTCAGTTCTGCCATGAGTGGAGGTGATACTGGCACTTGATTTTTCAGTAAATTCAATAGCAATTCAGCTACATCACTACCATCTTGAAGCATATCTTCTCATTTGTATCCCATACTCTTTGCATGGGATTGTTGCAATCGCACAATGAGGTAAAGTAGTGTCTCCAGAAAAGATGATATTCTCTCAGAAGGGCAGTCACAACCAGTATAGGTTTCTGTATTTTTGTGAGCATATAGAATATTGGTATTCTGGGCAGATTGAGTGTTTCTGAAAGCCATTTCTTAATCATTTCTTAAATGTGTTTGCCTCAATGCATTTGGTCAATGTTCTTAGTACCCCTTTCCTGCATGTTTTTTTACTATCAGTGCTCTGAGAGCTATGTAGTGAACTCTGTTGTTAAGTTGCACTATTGCCTCTTTGTTTGGTCATATTCATGATAACTTTTGTTATACCTCTGTCTGCTTTTTTGAGGTTTTAGGCAGATTCAACTCTTTTAGACTCAACTCTTTTGTAAGAATCTTAATTTTAACACATTAAGAACTTCAAATGTTCTTGACAAGATCGATCAAATTTATTTTAGTACATTCTTGAGTAACTTGAAATGCATACCCTGTTCTTTCAATAAAAGAGCATAATGCATATGGCTTGAAACCTTGCACACATGGTATAAAAAAACCCTACCTCCAAAATGGAATAATGGTATTAATAGATTAAATCTGAACAGACATTTCAGATTACATGTGATGATCGAGTATAAAATACACCGAAAAGTTAGTTTAAAATAATTACTAATTGTGTTCATAGGGAGTGTCTAGAAAGGTGATGAAACCTTTCCCATTCTTGCCTTGAACTTAAAGACGCCTATTGACAATGTCCACCACATTTAACAAGCAAAAGACTTTCGCTGTCATGAACCTGGAGAAAATGATGTCCAATTAAGTTGCAATAAACAGTTTCCTTCAGGATTACATCCTGTGGTGGAGGAAAATCTTGGCAAACGTGTTGCAGAATTCTTATAACTCTGCCTGCTGGTTCAAACAAATCAGGAAGACTGTATCTTTTGATGTAACAACACGATTTAATCCAAACAACCAATCTATTGTGATATACAATTCTCACATATTCAATGGTTGTAACACAATGATCAACGATCAACTAACACATTTTAAGTATAAAGAGGTTTTTTCTACTATCATTGCATAAGGCAGTATTTTTACATTAATTACATGTACAGTAAAAGTTCCCATTGTAATTTGTCTAAATTAAGTGACTATTACAAAAGTGCACATTCTTTCACCTTTATTAGCCTAAGAAAATGCATGCAGTGACATCATGTTATATCATGAATATATGCAGACCTTGTCTACATTATTGTGAAATCTAATGTCACAAAATCTAACCTCTTTGCGGTAAAAATGTCAATTTCTAATTAATATTTAATCACAAAATAATCAAGTCAAGCATCGCCTATTTCTTTCCCAATTAAACATTCCATCCAGGTTTATGCAGCAGGATTTCCCCTCTGAACACTAGGCCTTTCACCAAGTAGATGTTTTGCAAACCTAGAAGCACTTGGTGTGGATTTGTAATCCTGTGAAACATGCACCCTGTAGGTTTGGCATACTCCTAGTTTCTCCACCATTTGCTGAGGGATCCCCTTGTTCCAGAGTACAGATTTTTAACTTGAGCAATGAATTCTTCAAACACAAAACAGAAGTAAGTGCTAACGAACCATGGTGAAGAACTTGAGAGGGAAGTGGAGTAAAGAATGGAAGTTTTATGTACACTCTTCAATACCATGAAGACTTGGTGAAATTCTCCCAAAGTTATAAAGCAAAACTTGAGCCTTCTCTACACAAGTTTTGCAAATAGGAACTGAGAGCAGGAAATGAAAAACTGTAGTAAGAAGTGCAAATTCATCTGAAAGCACAGCATGTTGAAGACATGGCATTCCAGCAAAGAGGGCAAACAAACAAAATTCTGATGCTTTCCAGTGCTTTGATTTAGCAATACTATATGGCTTTGTGGTCAAGTCATGGGGCACTTTGATACAAAGAAACAGATTGTATAGCTCATGACTAATTCCTAGCAAACTGCATGAATCTGTAACATGCTGAG